CCTCTGAGATGGTGTCATCTTGCGCGATGTGATGTCACCCCTCAGAGATGGTGTCATTTTGTGTGATTTGATGTCACCCTTCTGATATGTGATTTAAAGTCACCCCTCTGATATGGTAACATCTTGTGTGATTTGATGTCACCCCTCTGAGATGGTTTAATCTTGTGCAATATGATGTCACCCCTCTGAGATGGTGTCATATTTTGCGATGTGATGTCACCCCTCTGAGATGGGGTCAACTTGTGCGAGTTGATGTCACCCCTCTGAGATGGTGTCATCTTGTGTGATTTGATGTCACCCCTCTGATATGGTGTCATCTTGTGTGATTTGATGTCAGCCCTCTGAGATGGTTTAATCTGGTGCAATATGATGTCACCCCTCTGAGATGGTGTCATCTTTTGCGATGTGATGTCACCCCTCTGAGATAGAGTCAACTTGTGCGAGTTGATGTCACCCCTCTGAGATGGTGTCATCTTGTGTGATTTGATGTCACCCCTATGAGATGTTGTCATCTTGTGTGATTTGATGTCATCCCTCTGATATGGTGTCATCTTGCGTTATTTGATGTCACCCCTCTGAGATGGTGTCATGTTTTGCGATTTGATGTCACCCCTCTGAGATGGTGTCATCTTGATGTCATCTTGTGTGATTTGATGTCATCCCTCTGATATGGTGTCATCTTGCGTTATTTGATGTCACCCCTCTGAGATGGTGTCATGTTTTGCGATTTGATGTCACCCCTCTGAGATGGTGTCATCTTGCGCGATGTGATGTCACCCCTCTGAGATGGTGACATTTTGTGTGATTTGATGTCACCTCTCTGATACGGTGTCATCTTTTGCGATTTGATGTCACCCCTCTGAGATGGTTTCATCTTGTGCGATGTGATGTCACCACTCTGAGATGGGGTCAACTTGTGCGAGTTGATGTCACCCCTCTGAGATGGTGTCATCTTGTTTGATGTGATGTCACCCCTCTGAGATGGGGTCAACTTGTGCGAGTTGATGTCACCCCTCTGAGATGGTGTCATCTTGTGTGATTTGATGTCACCCTTCTGAGATGGTGTCATCTTATGCGATTTGATGTCAACCCTCTGAGATGGGGTCAACTTGTGCGATTTGATGTCACCCCTCTGAGATGGTGTCATCTTGCGCGATTTGATGTCACCCCTGTGAGCTGGTGTCATCGTTTGCGATTTGATGTCACCCCTCTGAGATGGTGTCATCTTGTGCGATTTGATGTAACCCCTCTGAGATGGTGGGATCTTTTGTGATGTTATATCACCCTTCTGAGATGGTGTCATCTTGTGCGATTTCATGTCACCTCTCTGAGATGGTGTCATCTGTGCTATTTGACTTAACCCCTCTGAGATGGTGTCATCTTGTGCATTTAATGTCAACCTCTGAGATGGTTTCATGTTGTGCATTTAATGTCACCCTCTGAGATGGTTTCATCTTGCGCGATGTGATGTCACCCCTCTTAGATGGTGTCATTTTGTGTGATTTGATGTCACCCTTCTGATATAGTGTCATCTTTTGCGATTTGATGTCACCCCTCTGAGATGGTTTCATATTGTGCGATGTGATGTCACCCCTCTGAGATGGTGTCATCTTGTGTGATTTAATGTCACCCCTCTGATATGGTGTCATCTTGTGTGATTTGATGTCACCCCTCTGAGATGGTTTAATATGGTGCAATATGATGTCATCCCTCTGAGATGGTGTCATCTTTTGCGATGTGATGTCACCCCTCTGAGATGGTGTCATCTTGCGCGATGTGATGTCACCCCTCTGAGATGGTGTCATTTTGTGTGATTTGATGTCACACCTCTGATATGGTGTCATCTTTTGCGATTTGATGTCACCCCTCTGAGATGGTTTAATCTTGTGCGATGTGATGTCACCCCTCTGAGATGGTGTCATCTTGCGCGATTTGATGTCAGCCCTTTGATATGGTGTTATCTTGTGAGATTGGATGTCACGCCTCTGAGATGGTTTAATCTGGTGCAATGTGATGTCACCCCTCTGAGATGGTGTCATCTTTTGCGATGTGATGTTACCCTTCGGAGATGGTGTCATCTTGTGAAATTTGAAGTCACTCCTCTGAGATGGTGTCATCTTGTGTGATTGTATGTCACCCCTCTGAGATGGTGTCATCTTGTGCGATTTGATGTCACCCCTCTGATATGGTGTCATCTTGTGCGATTTCATGTCACCTCTCTGAGATGGTGTCATCTGTGCGATTTGATGTAACCCTTTTGAGATGGTTTCATCTTGCGCGATGTCATGTCATCGCTCTGAGATGGTGTCATCTTTTGCGATTTGATGTCACCCCTCTGAGATGGTTTCATCTTGTGCGATGTGATGTCACCCCTCTGAGATGGTTTCATCTGGTGCGATGTGATGTAACCCCTCTCAGGAGGTGTCATCTTGTGTGATTTGATGTCACCCCTCTGAGATGGTTTCATCTTGTGTGATTTGATGTCACCCCTCTGAGATGGTGGGATCTTGTGTGATGTAATATCACCCCTCTGAGATGGTGTCATCTTGCGCAATGTGATGTCACCCCTCTGAGATCGTGTCATCTTGTGTGATTTGATGTCAACCCTCTGAGATTGTGTCATCTTATGCGATTTGATGTCACCTCTCTGAGATGGGGTCAACTTGTGCGATTTGATGTCACCCCTCTGAGATGGTTTCATCTTGTGCGATTTGATGTCACCCCTCTGAGATGGTGGGATCTTGTGTGATGTAATATCACCCCTCTGAGATGGTGTCATCTTGTGCGATTTCATGTCACCTCTCTGAGATGGTGTCACCTGTGCAATTTGATGTAACCCTTTGAGATGGTGTCATCTTGTGCGATGTGATGTCACCCCTCTGAGATGGTGTCATCTTGCGCGGTGTGATGTCACCCCTCTGAGATGGTGACATTTTGTGTGATTTGATGTCACCTCTCTGATATGGTGTCATCTTTTGCGATTTGATGTCACCCCTCTGAGATGGTGTCATCTTGTGCGATGTGATGTCACCCCTCTGAGATGGTGTCATCTTGCGCGATTTGATGTCATCCCTTTGAGATGGTGTAATCTTTTGCGATTTGATGTCACCCCTCTGAGATGGTGTCATCTTGTGCGATTTGATGTCACCCCTCTGAGATGGTGGGATCTTGTGTGATGTGATATCACCCCTCTGAAATGGTGTTATCTTGTGAGATTTTATGTCAACTCTCTGAGATGGTGTCATCTGTGCGATTTGATGTAACCCCTTTGAGATGGTATCATCTTGCGCGATGTGATGGCACCCCTCTGAGATGGTGTCATCTTGCGCGATGTGATGTTTCCCCTCTGAGATGGTGTCATTTTGTGTGATTTGATGTCACCCCTCTGATATGGTGTCATCTTTTGCGATTTGATGTCACCCCTCTGAGATGGTTTCATTTTGTGCGATGTGATGTCACCCCTCTGAGATGTTGTCATCTTGCGTGATTTGATGTCACCCCTCTGATATGGTGTCATCTTGTGTGATTTGATGTCACCCCTCTGAGATGGTTTAATCTGGTGCAATGTGATGTCACCCCTCTGAGATGGTGTCATCTTTTGTGATGTGATGTCACCCCTTGGAGATGGTGTCATCTTGTGCGATTTGATATCACCCTCTGAGATGGGGTAAACTTGTGTGATTTGATGTCACCCCTCTGATATGGTGTCATCTTGCGTTATTTGATGTCACCCCTCTGAGATAGTGTCATCTTGTGCATTTGATGTCACCCCTTTGAGATGGTTTCATCTTGCGCGATGTGATGTCACCCCTCTGAGATGGTGTCATCTTGCGCAATGTGATGTCACCCCTCTGAGATCGTGTCATTTTTTGTGATTTGATGTCACCTCTCTGATATGGTGTCATCTTGTGTGATTTGATGTCACCCCTCTGAGATGGTTTAATCTGGTGCAATGTGATGTCACCCCTCTGAGATGGTGTCATCTTTTGCGATGTGATGTTACCCCTCGGAGATGGTGTCATCTTGTGCGATTTGATGTCACCCCTGTGACATGGTGTCATCATGTGCGATTTGATGTCACCCCTCTGAGATGGGGTCAACTTGTGCGATTTGATGTCACCCCTCTGAGATGGTGTCATCTTGTGCGATTTGATGTCATCCCTCTGATATGGTGTCATCTTGCGTTATTTGATGTAACCCCTTTGAGATGGTTTCATCTTGCGCGATGTGATGTCACCCCTCTGAGATGGTGTCATCTTGCGCAATATAATGTCACCCCTCTGAGATCGTGTCATTTTGTGTGATTTGATGTCACCCCTCTGATATGGTGTCATCTTGTGCGATTTCATGTCACCTCTCTGAGATGGTGTCATCTGTGCGATTTGATGTAACCCATTTGAGATGGTTTCATGTTTCGAGATGTGATGTCACCCCTCTGAGATGGTGTCATTTTGTGTGATTTGATGTCACCCCTCTGAGATCGTGTCATCTTGTGCGATGTGATGTCACCCCTCTGAGATGGTGCCATCTTGCGCGATTTGATGTCACCCCTCTGAGATCGTGTCATCTTGTGTGATTTGATGTCACCCCTCTGAGATTGTTTAATCTGGTGCAATGTGATGTCACCCCTCTGAGATGGTGTCATCTTGTGTGATTTGATGTCACCCCTCTGATATGGTGTCATCTTGTGTGATTTGATGTCACCCCTCTGAGATGGTGTCATCTTGTGTGATTTGATGTCACCCCTATGAGATGGTGTCATCTTGTGTGATTTGATGTCACCCCTCTGAGATGGTGTCATCTTGTGTGATTTGATGTCACCCCTCTGAGATGGTGTCATCTTGTGTGATTTGATGTCACCCCTCTGAGATGGTGTCATCTTGCGCGGTCCGCACTACCCGCACCTCCATAGCTACACCATTGCCTTAAGGTTGGTGCCGACAATTAACTACATCTTACCAATACTTAGCACCTATTAATAATCAGAGCACACTTGTTTACAAAATATGTTTCTTGTCGTACTTTAGAAAGCAAATTCGAAATATTAAATACTTTAGTGCAAGCTAGTAGTCATGTTGATATTTTCCTTTATTTACTTAAAATAAAATAAAAATGCTTAAAAAAAACAATTTTAAATATAATATCCACATGAATTTGACCTTAATTTGAGAAGTGCATTGTATATTCTTATGTTTTTCAAAGAAAATGTATCACATTCAGCATCAAAATACACTATATAAGTTAAGAACATTTATTTTGTTCATGTTAAAAAATTCTTAAATATATTTCAAAGTCTGGATTTGTTTGCCTTCTTGATGTTGATGCTTTGTAGCTGTTCATCCCCATTTTCCGTTGCCATCGAGACAAACCCGCAGGTCGGAAAGATCCTTCTGTGCTCTGACATCGGATCATCTTCCGGCAGCCAGTTCCGCACTCCTCCTCCGCAAAAGAAGCAGCGAACCCGATCGCCCTCTCCTGTGCGAGGATAGTAGATATGTTACAGGCAAGGTGTGGAGACAAGGTGTGGAAACAAGGTATGGAAACAAGGTATGAAAATAAGGTATTGTTACGCCCCTTATTGTGTTCAACGTATGTGAACAAGCTCGTGGTCTAGGGGCTTTGTAAAAAGGGCTAACACAGGTAGATTTTAGACACATTATTGGCTAAAATTAAGACAATCAGTGCACTATATAAATGTACTTTATTACATGGACTATAATGTGAACATTGATACATAAAATCTACATTATAATGAAATGAATGCAGGTCTAACACTAACAATATCTAACCTCACAGTAATAATAATATAAAAAATGCTATCCCAAGTCTAAGCTCCTGGAATTAATATTCCTGCTAACTATTGAATGGCCCTAATCTAGTACTCAGCAATTGAAACGTACGGCTAACCACTTATCGATATGATCCTTCTCTGGTCTGCCCCTCGAGGGAGGATGCGTCCAGTCTTATAGGCCTACTCATTTCGCGTGGCTTGACCATAAAGTAGATCAATGTCTGCTTAAATCAAGGTTGGTTGTGCCCTTGTTCGGATACAGATGTCGTGCTTCTTGGCAGTGCTAATCTGACACGGTTAGGTTAATGGGGGTAAGTAAACAAAAGGGACCGACCTTGTAACACTAGGGAAACAATTTAGGGAAACAATGTAAGCATAAAAAGGTATTGAAAACAATCATGGAAACCGGACACTCTATACAATTCCTACTTCGCCAGATACATTTAAATTAAAGCGTTTTGAAAAAGAACGTATTTATGTTGGGGAAAATTATTTGTTTCAAATGAATTTATGTTAAGAGGGTATTTTATCGGCACAGAAATTTGTTTCAGGAGCTTTGCTAAAAATAAACATCTGAAAGAAAATTGATTTCCCGGCACACCCTAGAGCGACAGAAAATACGACGGTAACTTACTAAATAATCCACTTCACCCCATAGACACGACCGAAAAGTAGAGGAGAAGTGGCTACATTATCGACCTTCTTCTAAATAATTCATCTTGAGCTTTAACAGCAACTTTCGTTTTGTGCGATGACGTCAAATATTAAATTGATTGTATTATTTTCGATTAATCTCACAGCTATTTACAACCAAGTGATTCTATATCACCTAATGCAGTCCTATTCCCCACAGCACGGATCCTGATATACCAATCCTACTACCTATGTTGCTTCAGTGGGGTTCTTTTCATACTAGCATGCTTTCTTACCCCAACCGCCCCCCCCCCCAATTTCCCCACCAGTATTCCCCTGAATTCTACCACCACAAACCGAACCCTCTCATGAATCAACCCTTACTCTCAAACGCAAACTCAACCCAGAGCAATCTCCTGCAAATTCCCCAAAAGATAGTATATAAATAAAAGTCACAAATGGGTGAGACATGTGTGCAGTCAATGCCAGTCATGCGTTCGTTACCTTAGCTATGTATCAGTGAATAAAATGGGAAGAAGATATGTTTAGGCATGAAAACTTAAAGACAGAACAATTAAAAGGGACTTTCAGATAAATGACTTCTTCAGAAGCCATTGCAAAAAATATATTTAAAAAAATCAATGTATTTGAAATAGAAACACTTCAGCGTTCCCAGATCACAATGTAGCTCTATAAGATCACAATATAGCTCTATAAGATCACAATGTAGCTCTATAAGATCACAATGTATCTCTATAAGATCACAATATAGCTCTATAAGATCACAATGTAGCTCTATAAGATCACAATATAGCTCTATAAGATCACAATATACCTCTATAAGATCACAATATTGCTCTATAAGATCAAAATGTAGCTCTATAAGATCACAATGTAGCTCTATAAGATCACAATGTAGCTCTATAAGATCACAATGTAGCTCTATAAGATCACAATATAGCTCTATAAGATCACAATATAGCTCTATAAGATCACAATGTAGCTCTATAAGATCACAATATAGCTCTATAATATCACAATATAGCTCTATAAGATCATAATGTAGCTCTATAAGATCACAATGTAGCTCTATAAGATCACAATATAGCTTTATAAGATCACAATGTAGCTCTATAAGATCACAATGTAGCTCTATAAGATCACACTGTAGCTCTATAAGATCACAATATAGCTCTATAAGATCACAATGTAGCTCTATAACATCACAATGTAGCTCTTTAAGATCACAATATAGCTCTATAAGATCACAATATAGTTCTATAAGATCACAATATAGCTCTATAAGATCACAATGTAGCTCTATAAGATCACAATGTAGCTCTATAAGATCACAATATAGCTCTATAAGATCACAATATAGCTCTATAAGATCACAATATAGCTCTATAAGATCACAATATAGCTCTATAAGATCACAATATAGCTCTTTAAGATCACAATATAGCTCTATAAGATCACACTTTTGTTATATAAGATCACTATAGCTCTATAATTTCACAATATAGCTCTATAAGATCACAATATAGCTCTATAAGATCACAATATAGCTCTATAAGATCACACTATAGCTCTATAAGATCACAATATAGCTCTATAAGATCACAATATAGCTCTATAAGATTACAATATAGCTCTATAAGATCAAACTATAGCTCTATAAGACCACAATATAGCTCTATAAGATCACAATATAGCTCTATAAGATCACACTATAGCTCTATAAGATCACAATATAGCTCTATAAGATCACACTATAGCTCTATACGATCACAATATAGCTCTATAAGATCACAATATAGCTCTATAAGATCACACTATAGCTCTATAAGATCACACTATAGCTCTATAAGATCACACTATAGCTCTATAAGGTCACAATATAGCTCTATAAGATCACAATATAGCTCTATAAGATCACAATATAGCTCTATAAGATCACAATATAGCTCTATAAGATCACAATATAGTTCTATAAGATCACAATATAGCTCTATAAGATCACAATATAGCTCTATATGATCACAATATAGCTCTATAAGATCACAGTATAGCTCTATAAGATCACAATATAGCTCTATAAGATCACAATATAGCTCTATAAGATCACAATATAGCTCTATAAGATCACACTATAGCTCTATAAGATCACAATATAGCTCTATAAGATCACACATTTGCTATATAAGATCACACTATAGCTCTATAATTTCACAATATAGCTCTATAAGATCACACATTTGCTATATAAGATCACACTATAGATCTATAAGATCACAATGTAGCTCTATAAGATCACACATTTGCTATATAAGATCACACTATAGCTCTATAATTTCAAAATATAGCTCTATAAGATCACACATTTGCTATATAAGATCACACTATAGCTCTATAAGATCACAATATAGCTCTATAAGATCACACATATGATATATAAGATCACACTATAGCTCTATAATTTCACAATATAGCTCTATAAGATCACACTTTTGCTATATAAGATCACACTATAGCTCTATAATTTCACTCTATAGCTCTATAAGATCACAATTTTGCTGTATAAGATCACACTATAGCTCTATAATTTCACAATATAGCTCTATAAGATCACAATATAGCTCTATAAGATCACAATATAGCTCTATAAGATCACAATGTAGCTCTATAAGATCACAATGTTGCTCTATAAGATCACAATGTAGCTCTATAAGATCACAATGTAGCGCTATAAGATCACAATGTAGCTCTATAAGATCACAATATAGCTCTATAAGATCACAATATAGCTCTATAAGATCACAATATAGCTCTATAAGATCACAATGTAGCTCTATAAGATCACAATATAGCTCTATAAGATCACAATGTAGCTCTATAAGATCACAATATAGTTATATAACATCACACTTTTGCTATATAAGATCACACAATAGCTCTATAATTTCAGAATATAGCTCTATAAGATCACAATATAGCTCTATAAGATCACAATATAGTTCTATAAGATCACAATATAGCTCTATAAGATCACAATGTAGCTCTATAAGATCACAATGTAGCTCTATAAGATCACAATGTAGCTCTATAAGATCACAATGTAGCTCTATAAGATCACAATATAGCTCTATAAGATCACAATATAGCTCTATAAGATCACATTATAGTTCTATTAGATCACAATATAGCTCTATAAGATCACAAAATAGCTCTATAAGATCACAATATAGCTCTATAAGATCACAATGTAGCTCTATAAGATCACAATATAGCTCTATAAGATCACAATGTAGCTCTATAAGATCACAATATAGTTATATAAGATCACACTTTTGCTATATAAGATCACACAATAGCTCTATAATTTCACAATATAGCGCTATAAGATCACACATTTGCTATATAAGATCACACTATAGCTGTATAATTTCACAATATAGCTCTATAAGATCACACATTTGCTATATAAGATCACACTATAGCTCTATAATTTCACAATATAGTTCTATAAGATCACACATTTGCTATATAAGATCACACTATAGCTGTATAATTTCACAATATAGCTCTATAAGATCACACATTTCCTATATAAGATCACACTATAGCTCTATAAGATCACAATATAACTCTATAAGATCACACATTTGCTATATAAGATCACACTATAGCTCTATAATTTCACAATATAGCTCTATAAGATCACACATTTGCTATATAAGATCACTCTATTGCTCTATAAGATCACAATATAGCTCTATAAGATCACAATATTGCTCTATAATATCACAATATAGCTCTATAAGATCACAATATAGCTCTATAAGATCACACATTTGCTATATAAGATCACACTATAGCTCTATAATTTCACAATATAGCTCTATAAGATCACACATTTGCTATATAAGATCACACTATAGCTCTATAAGATCACAATATAGCTCTATAAGATCACACATTTGCTGTATAAGATCACACTATAGCTCTAGCATTTCACTATATAGCTCTATAAGATCACACTTTTGCTATATAAGATCACACTATAGCTCTATAATTTCACAATTTAGCTCTAAAAGATCACAATGTAGCTCTATAAGATCACAATGTAGCTCTATAAGATCACAATGTAGCTCTATAAGATCACAATGTAGATCTATAAGATCACAATATAGCTCTATAAGATCACAATATAGCTCTATAAGATCACAATATAGCTCTATAAGATCACAATATAGCTCTATAAGATCACAATATAGCACTATAAGATCACACTTTTGCTATATAAGATCACACTATAGCTCTATAATTTCACAATATAGTTCTATAAGATCACACATTTTCTACATAAGATCACACTATAGCTCTATAAGATCACAATATAGCTCTATAAGATCACACATTTGCTATATAAGATCACACTATATTCTTATAATTTCACAATATAGCTCTATAAGATCACACATTTGCTATATAAGATCACACTATAGCTCTATAAGATCACAATATAGCTCTATAAGATCACACATTTGCTATATAAGATCACACTATAGCTGTATAATTTCACAATATAGCTCTATAAGATCACACATTTGCTATATAAGATCACACTATAGCTCTATAATTTCACAATATAGCTCTATAAGATCACACTTTTGCTATATAAGATCACACTATAGCTCTATAAGATCACAATATAGCTCTATAAGATCACACATTTGCTATATAAGATCACACTATAGCTCTAGCATTTCACTATATAGCTCTATAAGATCACACTTTTGCTATATAAGATCACACTATAGCTCTATAATTTCACAATATAGCTCTATAAGATCACACTTTTGCTATATAAGATCACACTATAGCTCTATAATTTCACAATATAGCTCTATAAGTTCACACTATAGCTCTATAATTTCACAATATAGCTCTATAAGATCACACTTTTGCTATATAAGATAACACTATAGCTCTATAATTTCACAATATAGCTCTATAAGATCACACTATAGCTCTATAATTTCACACTATAGCTCTATAAGATCACACTTTTGCTATATAAGATCACACTATAGCTCTATAATTTCACACTATACCTCTATAAGATCACACTTTTGCTATATAAGATCACACTATAGCTCTATAATTTCACAATATAGCTCCATAAGATCAAAATAAAGCTCTACACAATGTAGCTCTAAAAGATCACAAAACACCTCTTTCAGTCTCTATGCATCAGTGTGAGTCTTGGAAATTGTTCTTCTTACTGGCAGTATTTAAACATGCTCCCACTAAAGACCAAATGAAAAAAAAAACACCATAAACTGAGAACACACATAGACTCTATATGTGTGGCCATGGGCGTATTAAACAGTTAATGAGACGATGGATCCCATAAGTCATATTCATGCCAGTGAAAATGTTATCATTATAACCCCCCCCCCCCTCCCCCCAAACTCCCTGTCAAGACATTGTATCTGTTATGTTGCAAATCATACACGCATGGCAATGAAAGTCTATTCATCCAGCCAAGTCTTCCACTTGGTCACCGAACAGCACGACCAAAAGTAATAGTCTCCACTTCAACAAACACTCCACGGTTCGATACAATATATAAATTTAATATGCCTCTTCAACGTGACAATCAGTGTACTTCCCTATACAGCTTGTAACCGTTCAACTTCACAATATATCTATTTGAAATCCTCACACATAGAAACATCACGCAGGAAGCTATATTCTGAATAGTGCACAACGGCCATCTCTCTTCTCTAATAACAATGAAAACTAACGCGTCACTTCCCACTACACAATTACGTCACAACACTCTCACACAAACAATACGGCTACACATAAAATCTCTAACTAAACATCTTTTCCACATCAAACATTGAAACAATAATCTACACATAACAACAGTGATTCTCATACCCTTGACACTCCCCACATCGAAATTCCATGAAAAGATCAACCCATGACTGCATCACATAAAAAATATAAAAAGGACGTCAGTGTGTGCGTCGAGTGAATTGTGGCCCTATAGCCCCCCCCCCTCCCCCCATTTCTAGATTTGGATCAGGGCAAAATGGACAAAGAAATTTTGGTTTAGGATAGTAGGAAAATAATTATTTTTTATTACTTTCTTTTGTGAAAAGTTACTTTCCATATATATGGAGAAGCGTGTCATTTTTCACACTAGTCATAGAAATAGAGAAGATTGTCCACGTGAGCAGAGAAAAAACCAAAACACGAAGTGCTTGAGAATCGGAATTTCCCTTTTCTCCTCTTGGGACATGAACACAACTTTATGAGCAAAATGCATTTTACTTTCTTACTACACTTGTCAACCTTTAGATTATCGCTGAGAAAGGCGTACGGTATCATTTCTACGTACATTGAAACTAATTATTTTTATTGTAAAAACAGGAGTAAATAATTAACATGAGTCAATCATCTCTAGTAAATCAACCCAAATAAATCAACACGAATAAATCAACAGAAGTAAATCAACTGATGTAAAACAACACGAGGGAACACAACACGAATAAGTTAACAAGGGTAAATTAAAACTAGTAAATTAACACAGGTAGAGAGGATAACGCAATAAAAAAATAATAACTTGTGGTTTTTGGGGAGTTTCGTATTCAAAATTTGTGCGGGTTCATTCGTAACTATGTTAAACCAAGGTGTTAAAGTGGTGTGAAATGACGAAATGATCAGCCAGGGTTTTCAACTGAGAAGGCGGGATATAAAAGATATTGAATCATTTTTCCGGGGAACAATATTTAGTAATTTCTTTTATAGAAACTTTTATTGTACATATACTTAGTATATATATATATATATATAATTAAGTCCTACTTAGCGTCATTAAATAGAAGTAGGGCTTAAATTGGTAAATGCACTTATTGCGTTGAGATAACTTCAAATTCATTTTATTACAGAAGCATAACATTTTTGTTATGTCAAAATTAGTGTATTTAATCTCATAATTTTTGTGTTTTTTTTGTTTTGTTTTGTTACTCAAATAAAAATCTCTTAAGGGGCCGTCCATAAATTACATCATGCGAAAAGACGGAAAGTTGTTATATTCTTCCGCTCGCCCCCCCCCCCCCCCCCCGTCATACGCTGTCACAAATATGAGACTCCCCCATACCCCCTAAGGTACGTCACACTTTCAAACTAAAACGATTGGTTAAAAATTTAAAAACTAATTAAGATTTAATCTAAAACCCACTTCACTATTAAACTAATAAATTTATAAAAGTGACATCTCCTGTCAGAATACATATCTCAAAACAGAAAATTTAACATCACTGTGAGATTACATCTATCTCAGCAGAAAATGTAACATCATTGCCAACTTAAGGGTTTTATTTCGATGATGAAAAAATATGTGTGGCGTCACATAAGATCCTTCCCTTCTCCCCCATCCCCCATCACCCATGTCCCAAAGGGACACGCTTTCCTAGACCCCCCATCCCCCTTTTCTGGAGCATGAGGGACTTATGGTAGGCCCCTAATCCTACACGGTTAAAAACAACACCACAAATAATAAATCAAATATAATAATGTGGTTGCGCATGAATTGAAATCATTCGAACACCTCTAAAGATTTATTATCTTTTCGGTAGTAGCAGTAGCAGAATGACTTTTCTGGAGTGTCGATAACTGGTCATAAGCCTAACCTTGACTTACCCAAGTACCAGAAGCCGGCAGCCGCAAGTCTTTCTGCTGTTAAAAACACCACGGGCCATCCTTCAAAAGTCCTCTTGCGCTCCTCAAATGAAGAGTATTCTTTTCTCTTGGGCAGAAAATCTCGTGCGTCTGGTTTGGTCTCAATGCCAAATCTTGGGTTGCTGTTGTTACCATTAAACATACTACGACAGAAAGACTTTCTTGGCACTATCGCTGTGCTGTTTCATCAGGAAAAAAAAATTTAAAAATCGATTTATCGCATTTGACATTTCACTTTATGACACTAACAAAAATAGAGGACGGATAATAAATAAAGGACTGCGTTCAAGATGTGTAAAAGAAACAGTAGAATAGATAACTCTCATATGAGAGAGAAATGGAGACAGGTATCGAGAGAGAGAGAGAGAGAGAGAGCTAGAGAATAAATAGAGATAGAGAGAGATATTTTGGGAGAGAAAGATAGTGGGAGCTTTATAGAGAGATGAAAAAAGATAGAGAGATAGACAGAGGGACAAAGCGACAGACAGACGATAGGTAGATAGACAGAGAGACATATAGATAGCTAGATAGATAGATACATAAAAGATTTAAATACGTTCGGATTCATAAAAAACGATCATAGTGTTATTTTCTATTATTTTACAAAAAAAATGAATAAATTTAAATGCGCAAAAAATATTATATATCCGCTTTTATTTTAATAGAAGTTCAAGTATTATTACCATTAACAACAAATACATTTAAAGTATCAACTAAGGAACTATTTTAAGCATTTTATATGTGTTTGAAAGTTATGAATTTTTTATTTTTTTTAAAAATATGAACAAAGAATTACACCGTAATCACATTAATCGGGAAAACTATAACATCAGATTTTATAGTAAGTTTTTAGTGCGTTGTTAATATTCCGAAAATAAAATTAAAATCAATATGTTCTAAATCATCACGTTATTTTCATAGCGCGAAGGGCCTATTTAGCGAAATCTAAAAGATTTTAATAACCCCGCGTGGCAAAATTGAAAATGTATTTTCCCCATTTTAAATGTAAAATTAATAAATGCAATCGATTTCTTTTTCAATTGCCAAAATTTGCTTACATTAATACAAATTTAGCTTTTTTTTTTTTAAACATTTACATTTTTTTTACATTTTATTAATTCCAAAAATATGCTTTTCTGAAATTTGTAAAGTAGTCAAAACCAAATAAGAACAAAGCATATGAAATTCAGAAAATATTGTTTTTTTGGCGTAAGTTAGGGAATTACAAACCTGCGGAGAATTTAAGTCATTCTTTTTAAAGGCTGTGGGGGTTGGGAGAATGAAATTGGGGGTAGGAAATAGGTTGTGTACATTTTTTATGCGGATGACAATATCTTTATTTCCAAAGATATTACAGTGGTTAAAAAATATATGCTATATTCTCATTTTACAAATAAACATATGTTTACCAATTAAGAAAACCAATGATGTTAACAAAACGTAGGTACATTGACATAATTATACGCATCACTATCAAAATCCAATCATTTTACAAAAGTTAAATTTTAATTTTCAAAATAGAGATGGTTTAAGATTTTCTTGGATAGATAGATAATTGGATGTCAGATAGACAGACCGACAGGCCGACCGACAGATAGAGATATATATAGATAGATATATAAATAGATCCATTAGACATACAGATAAATATATAGATGGATAGATGGATAAATAGATAAAAAGATATATAATATATATAGATAGATCGATAGATAGATAGATAAATAGAGATATATATAGATAAATAGATAGACAGAAAGACAGACGGATAGATATATATAATATATAGTATAGATAGATAGATAGATAGATAGATATATAGATAGATAGATAGATAGATAGATAGATAGATAGATAGATAGATAGATAGATAGATAGATAGATAGATAGATAGATAGATAGATAGATAGATAGATATATAGATAGATAGATAGATAGATAGATAGATAGATAGATAGATAGATAGATAGATAGATAGATAGATAGATAGATAGATAGATAGATAGATAGATAGATAGATAGATAGATAGATGGATCAATTTTTTCCAATATTGCGGATAAGGATTTTTGTTGGTTTTTGTCAACAAAATCCATGTATTCCTTTCCTCGCGATTGAAATCACAAAATTATCAGACAAAACAGATAAAACACATTCAACACGTATTTATTCCATTGAAAACTTCGTAAAAACCTCTAAACTATTAAAAAAGCTGAAAAATATGCACATACTAAATCGAGTCACAGAGCAGCCCCCCGGAGTATAGATAGATAGATACATACAAACAGACGTGCAGCACTTTTCATACATATACAAGTGCTATGAACCATAGGTATCTTATATCAGTCGGAAAAAGGGCAGCCCATCAGTGACGAATGAATATAATATTTTCCAATGTGTATACGCTTCTTAACCCGTTATTTCTTCTAGAACTATCCATCAAATTAGGATATTCACACAAATAGTTAAAAGGATGAACACTTGTAAATATACAACCCCGTAAAAACAAAGTGTTTCGTATTAATCCTTTATAAAATGTAACATCGAGATATGGCGGATAGGCTGAAAATTTGAAGGAAAAAAAAGCACACTCGTTCAAGTAACGCACTTTGTAAGAATCCCAATGAGTGCTACCCTTCTCCGAGGCTGGCAAACGACATGTATTAATATAACGGATTTTGAAAAGGAAGTATTAGATCTAATATAATTTAGTTTTTCGTTGGCTCCCTTGACCACTTGAATACCCTCAAACAAGTAATGGTTTCTCCAATGTCCGGTTGAACCTGATTTCGAATCAAAATTGCATAAAATACATATATATATATATATAAATTGACATATACTCAACTGCAAGAAAAAAAATATTGTCTGACATCTCAGAATTTAGCAGCGTGCTCCCCCTCCCCCCCCCCCCCAAGCGCTTATCAGTGCAAAAATTATCAATAATTATATACTGTATATTGTACTAAAAGAGTTCATTTCTATTTGTTGAAAAAAAGGAGGGGCGGGTGGTATGACGGCTGATTTTTATGCTAGACAAGTGGTCAGAAAACTCATTAGTCAAAAGAGCCAAACATGAGCAGGAGGACGATTAAATAATTTTTTAGAGCTAAATTTCTTTTCAAGAACCATGTTTTTCGGAATGTAAACCGATTTGTAGCCGCCTGGCCGAGCCGCACCCAGGTCGCTAAAAAGCCGCATGCGGCTCGTGAGCCGCGATTTTCCGACCACTGCGCTAAGTCAAACACTGCAGATGTCTTGTGTTTAAATCTTTCTATGTGTACAATGTAGCCTTAAAATATAAAAAAAAAATATGTATTTATTTATGTGCTTAAAATGAATATGGACAATATAATAAATAAAACATTTACTTGGATCCATAAAAGAATCTTATTTTATTTTATCTTATTTTACATACAATTTATGATTTTAATATCTACACAAATATTTCCTTTGCATTAAAACTATTAAATGATCAACTAAAAGGTTGTTTACTTTCATAATAATAATTGTAAAATAAAAGGGAATTCCCCATTTTCACTTCACAATTTCAACAGTTAAATATCTTTTAATTTGCCCCCTTGAAAAATCCGTATTAATTAACGTCAAATAAGTGAATCACGCACATTTCTAACATGATTATTAAACACTAATAAAAAATACGTTTTAATTGATAGAAACAATCACTTTATTCAAACTCTACCTTCAAATTTAGTAAGAACTATTTCACAGACGGGAATCAAATATAAACTTCCCGATATATGATGGAAATGGAGCTTTAAAAACAAGATTAATGTGAAAGTAAGTTTCAAGGGCGATTAAAAATTAAGAAAAAAAAATCTGCTTACATCTCTTGTTACGAAAACATTTTAAAATAACCTATATGACATTGGAACTGATTTTTTTTTTCTTTGTTCTACTAACTATCCATATGACTTATACGTATGAGAAGGTCTCTATGAATCTTGTCCTATGGCTGATCACATTTTATAGCCTCACCATAAGTCGCTTTCTTATTATGAGCATACGTTAGAGGAAGTAGGATGATGACATAAGCCGACATTCCCGATTAAATTGCGCGTCAAACAACTATTTATAAATGACCTTTACTGACAGCCTAAATCATTTACGGACTTTTACAGTCATATATTCCCCACAATTCATGGGCACCCGCAGAAAACTTTCTAGGGGTGGGGGGACCAAAAAAATCGATTAACTTTCCGGGGGGGGGGGGCAAAATTTTTTTAGTAATGTTTTAATATAGTTTTAATTTACTGTAGCGTATTTGTATGGTGAACGAACGGACAGGACAGCAGCTTAGTTACTCTCTCTTTATTTTCTCTTTATTTTAATAAATAGTTTGTCTATTTTTGTCTAAAATTTTTTTATCCAATCAATCCAGGGGGGAGTGCCCCACCTTGCCCCTACCTGCGGGCGCCTATGCCACAATAGTACGGGCGACCCTTTAAGTTATGAAAAACGACGTACCAATCATAAACGTATTTACCCACTCTCCCCAAGACCATAGTGCAATTTACCAATACTTTTAAAAAGGACTGGTGGGTGTTGACGAAATGATTCCGCATGGCCAACAATCCAGAACGTCAATCTATATGCATGTGCTTACGGCATCAGAAGATAAAAATATATGTGTGTGCGGGTGGGTGGGGGGGGGGAAACCACAAGAAATATAGAATACATTTTCAGGGGAGTATTTCTTTCAGGCAGCTCTCGGGGGGGGGGGGAGGGGCGGCACGGCCCCCCCGGGCAGGTCAATGGCCCCCCTCCCCGACCAAACTAACAAAAA